GTAGTTCTTCCCTGGGAGGGTGATGTGTGCTACGGTGCTTGTGCAGACACAGGTCATTCGAGAGGAGTTCTTCTTTCTTTTCTTTCTTTCTCTCTCTTTCTTTTTTTGTTTTTCGAGACAGGATTTCTCTGTGTAGCCGTTGCTGTCCTAGACTCATTTTGTAGACCAGGCTGGCCTAGAACTCACAGAGATCGCCTGCCTCTGTCTCCCAAGTGCTGGGACTGAAGCTGTGTGCCATTGCACCAGCTCTGAGTAGTTTTCTTCAGTGTCCACCTTTCTTGAGGTAGGCTCTTTGTCTCTGCGGCATGTGCCAGTCCATCTACCCCCAGAAATTCTAGTTTCCTGCATGTCTGCCATCTTACCACAGGGAAGCTGGGAGTGCAGATGGACGCTACCCACCAGTCCTCCTCAGGCCTTGGGACTCGACCCCAGGTTCATGTTCGTTGGCAGACACGTGTCTGTTAAGCCGTCTCTCCAGCATTCCCTTCCTTAGAGTCCTGTGTTTCCACGGCTGACCCCGACCTCTTCAATCCCCCGTGTGGCCCTGAGTGATGGCATCAGAGGCCCACACCACCACATGCCACACCACATGTTTCGACCCTCCCTCTGGTCCTGTGTCCCTGCAGGTGGTGCTGGCTGGGTAACCCGCCCCCTTCCAGATCTTCCTGTTCCCTGGTGAGGCCCACCTCAGGCATCTGGATCTCTAAGGCACCACCGGTGTCTAAGAAAGGTGCTGGACGGGTATAGGCTAGAAGATAATCCAAGAGCATCTAACTCACCTCAAGAAATAGGGAAAGCCGTGTGGGAGGCTTTTACAATTCTCCAGCAGGGGAGCTCCAAAGGGGTGGGGGGCTGAAAGTGGACTTGACCTCAAGGGTCAGAGGTCCTGGGACCTGATGGCCTAGGTCCCTACTGGCCAACTACTACACCACTGAGCCTCCTGGGAGCAGAGAGGAAGTTTCATCATTAAGAGAAAATCTTAGAGGCCTGCAAGGTATTTTAGCGGCTAAAAGCTCTCACGGGCCCCCAGCTTGACTATGTGAATTTGATCCTCAAGATCCACGGTTTTCTATACCTTGTTGTGTATATAGTATCAGGCGCACACAGCTGTGCACACAGAGAATAAGGAAAGCAGTAAAAATAGATTTAATTAAGGAAATTATATTAAGGGTGGAGACTAACCTCGGTTGGTGGAGTATTAAGCTTATGATACAGGAAGCCAAGGGTTCTCTCCCAATGTTAAATATATAGGGCTCAAATTAGATCAAGCCTATCAGCACTCCTGAAACTGAGGGGAACCAGATCTGGGTTCAATGTTACTCTAGTGACATACTGAAATCCTGGCCATCCTACATGGCTACACGAGACCAAGGAATGCCATTAAACACTCTCCATAAGAATCTGAGGGGCTGGCCAGGCGTAGTGGTGCACACCTTTAATCCCAGCACTCAGCAGGCAGAGGCAGGGGGATGGCTGTGAGTTCGAGGCCAGCCTGGTCTACAAAGCAAGTCCAGGACACCCAGGGCTACACAGAGAAACCCTGTCTTGAAAAAATAGGAATATGAGGGTGGTATGCCATGGAACAGCACATGGTATAAGGACACACGCCATCCTCAGGGGTTGGTTCCCGCTGTCCACCTTTCCTGAGGGAGACTCCTGACCTCTGCTGCACAGACCAGGCTATCTGAATCTACAGGGCCTCCTGGATTCTGTCAGCCTCGTACTGTGGGGGAGCTGGGAGTGCAGGTATGTGCTATATATACTGAGCTTTTCCCTCCTTTCCTGGGACTCAAGCCCATGTTCACACTTGCTGGCAAACACTTTGCCCATTAAGCCAGCTCCCCAATGCCCCTTCTTCTCTGTTTTTGAGAATTCAGGCTAACATGGAACTTCCTGTTTTTCCCAAGGGCACCTCAACCTGATCTCTCCTGCCTGAGTATTCCGATATTCCGGTTCACATAGTGCTTTTGGCCCTCATTATTCTCTTCCACCACCTTACACAATCCGAGAGCCCCTCTCATTCTGTCCTGTTCGAGTGAGGTCCGTCGGGTATAACCATGTCCTTATAGGCCTCCTTCATGTCCACTCCGGTGGCTTTAGAGTCTTTATCATCTCTCCTCTGAGATCTTCATTCTTTTGTTGTGGTTCTTTTGTTTCTGTTAAACAGGGTCTCTCTGTTTAACATAGCCCTGGCTGCCCTGGACTTCCTTTGTTGCCCAGGCTGGCCTTGAACTCACAGAGATCCACCTGCTTTTGACTCCTGAGTGCTGGGCTTAAAGGCGTGCACCACATCTGGCTAATATCTGCATTCTTAATACACTATTGGTTTCTAAGAAAGGTATTGGGAGGATATGGGACAGGACATAGCAGTATGTCGAACTTCCCTCAAGAACTAGGGACGTGATTTGGGAGGCTTGGAGAATCCTCCTCCTGCAGTGGGAGGCTGCTAATGGACCTGACCCCAAGGCTCAGAGTCCTGGGTCCTGCTGATTTAGGAACACCAATGAACCTCCTTGGAACAGAAATGTGAAGCTATTATCAAGAAACTATTTTTGTGTTTGGGAACAGTGAGCTAGCTCAGGAGAGAAAGTCATTTGCCAGAAGTGTAACCACTTAATTAAATGGATCACCCAGATCCCTGAGTCCTGGTGGTGGCAGGAGAGAACGGACACCTACAAATCGCTCTCAGATCTACCTAGGTGAGTCGTGGTGTATGCCTGGGTGCACACAATCAGTGCAATTCAAAACTGTTTTCAAGAAAAGCCATTAGAACTTCGGATAAGTTCAGCTGGTGCAGGGCTAGCCTAGCCCAACACTGCGTGGAGGGCACACAGCAGCCCGGGCCTGCAATCCTAGCTTTCTGAAGGTGACGGCAGCTGGATCGAGTTCAAGAGTCATCTATGGCCACAGAGTGGTTTGTTCGCCACCCTTCATGGCTGGCTATGCAGACTGTGAAGGGCCATTTAAAGGCTCTCCCTCAGACTCTCTGCTCATTCTTCTTCTTTGTGCCTGGACTATGTCTGGGGCTGGGGCGGGGAAGGGATGCTTAGCATGGCAGGAGCGTAGAGGCCACGACTCCCTGGTGCCAGGCCTCATCTTCTGCCTTGTCTTATGCTAAGTCCCTTGTTCTCTGTTGTGTTCGCCACACTAGCTGCACAAACTTCCAGATAGCCTATTTCTGCCCCTCAGCTTTTACATACCTTCTTGGGACTCAAACTCAGAACCAATCCTCAGTGACCCCCTTCACATTTTCCGAGGCCTGGAGAGCCTGGAATATCCTTTCTTTCCCAGGCAACCTTCCACCTGAATATCTCTTCTCTGAGCCTCCTGAATGTGGATTACAGATCCACACCAAGATGTGCTGCTTTTGGCGTTCATTCTTGTCTTCTGCCAATTTATTCAACCTGGGCCTTCCCTGTGACCCTGACCGCCATGGAGCAGCCCCTTCTCTGGGTGGTATCTGTGATGGTATAACCATCTTCCAAGTTTCCCTCAAGTCCCCTGCTGTAAGAACTTGATCATACCATCTCTAACATCTTTGTACAAAGATGTACAAAGGGGGCTGCAGGGACAGAAGATATGCCAAGTATCGGGCACGCCTCAAGAAATAGGGAGAGTAACCTGGGAAGCTTGGAGAAGTCTCCTGAGGGAGGGAATGCCAATAGGTTCAAGAGGGAGAAATGGAGTGGATTTAGAGGGTCAGAGGACCGGGGCCTGAACACTGAAGTCCGTATCAACTGAGAAGACCAAAAAGCTTCCTAAGAGAAATATGCAGGGTTGCCATTAAGAAAAGGTATGGGGAGAGCTGCAGAGATGGCTCAGCAGTTAAGAAGCATGGCTGTTCTTGCAGAAGACCCAGGTTTCATTCTGCGTACCCACAAAGTGGCTCACACCAGCCTGTAACTGGTTTCCAGGGAATCTGATGCCCTCCTCTAAACTCCACAGGGACCAGGCACACAAGTGGTGGACAGATACATGCAGGCAGGCAGAAAATTCTCTCTCCCTCTCTTTCTCTGTGTGTTGTATTGTATGTGTATGTGGAAGAGAGACAGAAAAAAGATACAAACACAAAAACAAAAACACACAATATGCAGTAACAAGCCCATGGTCTGTGTGGAGGCCACAGGACACGCAGCTGCTAGTCCTCACTTCCTGCCTTTCTGGGGTCAGGATCTCAAGTCATCCTCTGCCCAGGGCTGGCTAACTGATCCAGTCACTTCAAGTGGCCTGTCTCTACCTACCATCTCACCATAGGCCTGACAGGAATCCTGACATGTTTGCCTTAACCTTTAAATGTGTCACAGGGTCTTGGGACCCAACTCAGGTCCTCATGCTTGCCGGGCAGGCATCAAGCCATCTCCCCTGAAGTCTCCTTACTCCTGTTCTGAGTGTACAGGGTCCCTGTACCATCGTATATTTCCCAGGATATCAGGGACAACTTAATGTCCCTCTAGAGCCTGCTGAGCCCTGGGATCACATGCCCCCACCGCTGCATGCTTCTGTTCCTTCCCTCTGAGCAGGGTTCCCCTCTGAGCCACCGAGGATGACTAATCGCCTCTCAGGTCGGACACAGGACAATGTGAGCATCTTCCATCTGAGTGTCTCACTCACTTCAGGAGACAGGGGAATGACTTAGGAGGCTTGGAGAAGTCCAGTGGGTATGGGGGGGGCAGTAATGGACTTGACCCAGAGGGTCAGCAGTCCTGGGACCTGATGTCCTAGGTCCCTACTGGCTGCACACACCAATGGGTCTCCTAGGAGCCAAGATGAGGGACCGTCATCAGGAAGGACATTAGGCGTGGGTGAAGGGTGCAGTGGAGAAAGGCTTTTGTTGGTAGCCCAACTGCTGGAGTGAACGATCTACATCCTCAGGACCCGCGCGGGAGGAGAGAACTGAGACCCCAGTTGTCCTCAGGCCCACTCGTATGTGTAATGGTATATAGCTGCTGGGTCCACAACTCACAATCCATGTGATTCAAATCATTTTAATATAAGAAGGCGTAGTGTCATCGGGGAGTAATTTCAGCTGGCAGAGTGCTAGCCTAGCATGCAGGAAGGGAGCCATCAGTTCCCTCCTCGCACCGAGGCACGGGAGCTCAGACCTGTGATCTTGGTACTCCCAAAGGTGGTGACAGTGGACACAGCAGTTTCAGGTCTTCCTTGGTGACACAGTGAGTCCCTGGCCATTCCACATGTTTTCATGAAGCCGTGAGGGACCACTAAGGGCTCTCCCTCAGAATCCTCACTTACTCGGCTTCATGCATGTGTGCTTGCGTTTGTCTTCGCGTGTGTGTCTTCACGCACACTCACCTGTGAACGGGCACAACATGTCCATGCCAGTGCTGGGAGGGCACCAGGCATCATCAGATACGGTCCTACCCTTTCTCCTCTTATTCCACCTTTTCTCTGCCTCACTCTCCCAGCTAGCTGTCCCATGAGCTTCCGGATGTTCAGAGCTCTGCCTCCCAGGTCTCCTCACTCAATGTTGCTGTTTTCTTGGGACACAAGCTCCGATCGCCATGCTTGCTGGCAAGTGCTATACCCATCTCAACCTTCCATTCTCATTACAGAGGGCCCAGGCCAACATCCTGTGTTTCCCAGGCTAATATCTAACTAGTAAGCTAATATCTAAATGGTGAATTTCCATGAGTTTCCTGAGTGTCGGGACATCACGCCCAACACTCAGATTCATGCATTTTACCACACGTTCGTTCTTTGTCTCTCATTAGTGTCCTCCATACCTCCTGACCAAACCAAGTGTTCTTTCCCTGCCCAGCACAGGAATACTCCTTCTATGTGTGAAATTTGTAAGTTTAGAACCCTCTTCCTCCCAGGCCTTCTTGGTTCCCCTGCTGGGGCTGAAAGGTCTTTCCCATCCCACCTCCAACATCTGTAAATGAAGGCCTCTTGCAGGTGTCTAGGAAGGGAGCTGGGGATAGAGGACATGGGACAGATGACAGTCCAGGTATCGTACTCACCTCAGGAAATAGGGGGGTAACTTGGAGGCCTTGTAGAAGTGTCCTCCTTCAGGGGGGCTCCAACGGAAGGAGGGGGCGGTCCTCTCCAATGGGAGGAGGTCAGAGGTCCTAGGACCTGATGGCCTAGTTTCTACTGGCTGAGCACACCCATGAGCCTCCTGGGAGAAAGATGCAGTACTGTCACCAACAAACATATTGGCCCAGCAATATCATCGTCAGTGAATGAAGGCTTTTGCCGACACACCTACCAGTGCTTTCATTCTCAAGACCCTTATGGTGCAAAATGTGTTATTCCCACCCTGTAGGTGCATCCTACACGGCTGCTTTAGAATCTCATCTTATTTTCATAAACTCTGTGCGGTGACAAACGCATGCCAGGTACCAAATGCATGCCAAGTACCTCTAATGGATGCCACAGGACTTGAGCTGGGGTTGGCCCCCACTGACCAGCCTTTCGGAGTCGGAGTCTCTTCTGCAACATGTCACTTAGGCTAGAAGCATACAACTTTCCAGACAGCCTCTCTTTTCTGCTCTCCCACCACAGAGGTGCGGGCCTCTGGGACTCCCTCGGTTTTCGTGTGTTTTGGGTACCCAGACTCTGTTCCTCAAGCTTACTGTGAAATGACTTTATGTGCTTTACACCATCCCTCCAATCTTCCCCATTCCCTTTGTTTGAAAGTGCTATGTGGGAACAGTCTCTCTTTCCCAGGCTGTCCTGGACTTGGGACGTTGCCTGCAGATGCCAAGAGTTAAAATTCTTGACCCACGCTACCACACATTGTTTTTGGACCCCTTTTTTTGATTCAACCTGGAACTTTTCTGCCTGCATGGCAACCCCCTCTTTGAGTAGATCCTGCTGCTGCAAGGATCTTCCACTTTTTGACGTTTCCATCCTTAGTGGACTTGCAGAGGTATGTAGGAAAGGCAGCGCTCGCACCCAGGACACATGTTAATCCAAGTGTGTAACTCACCTCAAGATATAGGTGATGGGAACACAGAAGCTTTGGAGAAATCTACTGCAGGGGAGATCTTCTCGGTGAGGTCCAGTATGGACTTAACCGCAAAGGTCAGAGGTCCTAGGACATTGGTCCCTATTGTCCACACAGACCAACAAGCCTTCTAGGAAAAAGTATTTGAAATTTCATTAAGTATCTTAAATCTGTCCCAATCCCCATTTTTTATTTTAAAAATAATTTTTATAACTTCTGTGTTATGTGTGGACACAAGCCACAGTATATATCTGGAGGTCAGAAGAGAACCTGTAGAGGTTGGTTCTTAAGCTTGGGTCCTAGGAACTCAACTCAGGTGATCAGGCTTGGCAGCGAGCTTCCTTACCCACTGAGCCGTCTCTCTGGTCCTGTTGCCTAGTTTGTATAGTATTTGCTTACTGAGCGTGAAAACTTGGTTTATTCTGTTTCTCTGTCTTGTATGTGTGTCCTGTTCCCATGCATACACTCATTTCCATGCATGTTGTGTAGGACAGAGTAGGACACTGTGTGTCATCCTTCATGGCTTTCCACCTTATTTTTTTTAAGATGCCCTTTTACTAAATCTGAAGCTCGCTATTTTTGTTTTTGTTCCTCTTTGCTTTATTTCCAAGCATGTGTACCCATGCCTGGCTTTCACATTGGCACTGCAGATTTGATCTCATGTTTTCCTGCTTATGCTACAAATGTTCTTAGTCAGTGAACCATTCTCCCAGCTCCTAAACCCTGGTTTTCCTTGCATCACTGAAATACCACGCAGGATCTCTTTTCTTCCCAGCATTCTTGAAGGCGTTCACTGCTGTGTCTGATTTGTAAGGTCATCTTCTGCTCACGTGTTATCAGTTTCCCTTATGTTGTGTAAATCTCGGATGTCATACAGTCCTTACAAGACTGTTTTAGATATTATACTTTTCATTTTATAGCTTCTAGGTTAAGTTAGTAGATCACAATCTGACAATGAGTGTCAGTCTATGTGCCCAGGGAATGGAAGGATTTTCTTGGTTGGTGAAATTACACATATAAAGTACATGTAAGATGGTAGAGGGCCTCTGCTGGTAGCCTGTGCCATTAGGCAGAAATTACTTACCTACGAAAATCTATTTACACATTCCTTACAGTTTTGTATGTTAATCCAGTACTTGGGAGAAGCACACCAGAGGATGAAGATTTCAAGGTTTCTTTCTGTCTGCTGCCAGCCAGCCTACGTTACACGACATCTGCTCTCAAACACACCAACAGAGAAAGGCATCTCTGTGGAGTGGGAGCTGCCAGTCGAGCACAGCCTTACTGTTGACCAGAGGCACTGCCGCATGGAAGCTCGGATGCTCTCAACACTAACGTCACGGTGAGGACACGCCAGCAGCTGCAGACGATGACTGCAAGCATGGCTGAAGATCAAGCTAGACAGCCTGCTCTGGCCTCAGAAAGCACCACTGCTAAACAAGACAGGCTGGAGTAAACTCTAGATGACCTGAAGCCATTTTTTCACCAGGGCCAGAGGAGGATGGTACTCCCCTCCCCCAGATTCCTAGAAGGACTTTGGTACAAACTCAACCCCTCAGTTGCATTATGGACTACGCCATGATGGCTATAATCCCCTTGCAACACATACCCTTTCAGATGTGTAAGTAACCTGTTTGGCTTGGCTTTTTCAGATAGCGTTTCATCTAGCCCAGGATGGCCCTAGCCTGATTGTGTAGTTGATGACCTCTTCCCTGGCCTGTCTTTACTTCCCATGTGTTCAGATCACAAACACTGATACCTCATTTGCTTTGCTAATGTTGAGAGGCAGTAGGCTGCTACCATCCTTTTACAACAATAAGCCCACAAATCTTTTGCTCTATTTAATTTCTGTAATAAATATGGCAGGCTTGAGGCGATAATATGAAGAGTAGAGTATAGGGGTCAGGGCCTAGAACCATAAACTTATGAACTTCAGGGCTTAGTTCTGTCTAGATCATAATATTTTGAACTTTTGAGGTCCAGGTCAACTAGAAAACAACATACCAGTGACTTCTCACCTACTCACCATTTCATTTTTTCGTTTTCTCTTCTCTCCTCTCTTTCCTTCTTTCATCCCTCCCACTTTCTGAAACTAGGTGGAATGTAGCCCAGGCTCTTATGAAATAGGCTATTTCATAAGAATGATATAGAATGATCTGTAACTCTTGACATCCTTGCTTTCACTTCCAAGTGCTGGGATTAATGACAGAGGCCACCATACTAGGCTCCCTTTTCATGATGTCTGAGTAAGACAAAAGAATCAAACCCAGGTGGCTCTTCAATTTATATTACATGGATGTGTAGTGTTCGGGAATTAAGATAGGAGGGCATTCCAGACACAGCGCTTACTTTTGGCCAGAGCAGAATAACTGAAATAAGGTGTCATGGTCAAAGGGGGTTAGGCTCTCTGAAAGCCAGTCTGCAAAGGCAGCAGGAGGTGAGGCCAGAGTCCACGGCCATGCGGTCTAATGAGACCCTTGGTTGCCGCCCCAGAAAACGTCACCACTAAAACCTTCCAGGCAGTTTTCGACCTAGCGGGACCAACCCATTCTTCCCTACCGGAAGTGGAAGAGGGCGGAGCTGGCGGAAGTTCCATCTCCACCAGGAGTAAGAAGCCAATGTGGAACTTCCGCTCGGGGGAGGGGATACGTCCGGTTCTCCGCCCAGCCTAACCCTACGGGTGCCTAGTGGAGCCGGGCGCAGTGCGCCTGCGGACTGTCCCTGCATCCCGCGCGCAGTGGGCGTTACTAACGGACAGCGCCTGCCTCTGGGACCGCAGATACAGTGATGCTTCGGGAACGGTGCACCCTCTTGCCCGTTACCGACTAATCCTGTCCGACTCGGCCCTTGATGATGTTCATGGAGGACCAAGATATGAATATAAGTAGCTGCCGCTGTGGCTCTAGCTAAGGACCGCGCGAAGCGTGTTGGAGGGTGTGCTTCCAGCTCACCTCGAAGTTTAAAAAAACAACAACAGCAAAAAAACCAAAACAAAAAACTATTCGCTGACTTGACGGTTAACCCTGACTTGACAGCAAGGGTAAAATCGATCTGAAGGAAAGAATTGGTGCACGTTAATTTGAACCAAATCTCCTAGGAGCCAGGACTAAAGGATCAGAGCTCACCAAAGGAAATCACAACAGGGGATACGAGTTCCTGAGAAGCTGCTGTAAATACGCCGGTGTATTTAATGCACTTGGGGTCTGCAAGTTAGGTAACATCCAGAGCTCCTTCCCAAATGAAGGACCGTCGCACAGGTTAAGTAAAACTCCATCCTTATTCACCAACGTGTGCGTGAATATAACAAACATTTCTAAACCCTGGCCAAAAATTATATTATTTGAGGACCCACTGTTATCACGTACTTTTGAGATGTCTTGCTGTGAACAGGACGCACATGAGTGCTGTTCCTCGTCTTTGCTTCACACCGCTGCAATTACAGGGCGGAGACACCATGCCCAGTCTCCTCTATTATTTATTTATTTATAGGCTGGGTGTCCGTTAGCCCGGCTAGCCTTAAACTTGGGAGGTACCTGGGGTTTGCCTTTGAACCCTTCTTTCATATGTACTAGGAGAACAGCATTATGCCAACTAGGTGTTCATGTTAGAGCTTTGCCAGAAGATTTGTGTAGTTACATGAAAAGTTTATGGTTTTGGCTTAATATATCCTTTGCCTCTTGTACTGCCATTGAAAGGCAATCCTTTCAAAGCTGAAAGGATTGAAATTGGAGCAGCCCTCTCATACTGGCAGTTAACTGTGGAAAATGACATGTGAGGTGTCTTAGTTGACCCAAGGAATAGCAAGAGTAAGTTTCAGTGAGGATCCTTAAGTTATTTACCTTTGAGGAATTAAGAAGGCAAGCCAGGTGTGGTGGTACACTCCTTTAATCCCAGCTCTTGGGAGACAGACAGAAGGATCACTGACTTAAGAGGCCAGTCTGGACCATACTGTGTGTTCTAGACCAGCCTACGCTATGAAGTGATAGCTTGTGCCAGGAAACCGAAAGGAGTAGAAGTGTGGGGGGTGTGGCTTAGTGGTCCACTGCTTGTCTAGGTTAGGCAAGGCTCTGGCTGCACCCCCAGCATCACCAAATCTAAAAAAGGAAGAGAGCAAAAGTAGGTATGCTCACCTGCCAAGTCAAGCTGAACCCAAGCTAACTGTCACTATGTAGGTAAGGCTCTACCCAGTGAGGGTTCTAATGCCAATGACATCACAAGTGTTGCTTGGTAGCAAGTAAACAAAAATTTTACTGACCAGTCCCCTCCCCAACATGATGCTTAAGATATGGTTTAACTTGTTTGTTTATTCTTCCTGTGTCACAAATTACCCATAACATATTTATTTACTCAGGGTCTCCGAAATTCAGTGTGATTTTTTTTTCCCCTTGCCTTAAAAGAGAGATGAGAGGGACAAGATACCTACCATGGTATCTTTTGAACTCAAAGTCATGTAGTATTCACTGTGTAACAGGGATCACAGAGACCAGTGTCAACAGGAAGAGGGAACTTGGCAAGAGTGTGACACCTGGAAGTGACTATTGGTAGGCAGAATCTTGAAGGCTAGCTACTGCCATTTCCCAAACTCTGATTGGAAACCACACCCACCCCTCTCCCTCAGGCTGGCAGGGCTCACACCTCCAGTGATCCTCCTACCTCTGCCTCCCTAGTCTGTATGTCCCAACATACCCACCATGCCTGATCCTCTTAATTTGTAGAGGCCACTTATCATGTAGCCCAGCTGGCCTCAGTGTTGCTGTGTAGCCCTTGGGGACCTCAAACAGGGCAGTCCCCTACCTTTACCTCCCAAGTGCATTTATTCAAGGATGTGCCATTAGGCAGAGCTAGGTACATTTTAGCCAGGCTTTGCCAAAAGCCTGCCACCTGGCAGTTTTGTGGCCCTAAATTAAGACAAACAATCCTCATAACAATGTGTTTGCCTCTGTGCTAACTAACACTGAGACCTCAAAGCTGACGGGATTGATAGGTAACTATGGAAATCACCATGTAAGATGTCTTAATGACCCAAGGAATAGCAAGAGTTACTGCAAAGTGCCCAGAACTGTTAAAGAAATGAAAGAATGTGAGGCATTAAAATATTGGGTCCTGATGTTAAAACAAAACAAAACAAACAAACAAACAAAAAAAAACACCTTAATTTCTTTACTATCAAATAAGCAAAATCACTATATGATACCTTATATATTTACATATGTTTATTGGCCCTAACTCCCTGAATAAATATGGTTTTACGACTGATAGTACCTATGCATAGCAGTTAGTGACCATATTTAAATATCCAAGCTCTCATGGTGGTTAGTAATAGTAGCTATTTGAGTTTTCTTTTGGAACTACTGACTTGTAGTAATTTAGAGAGCTGACCTTGTGCTAGAGGCCAAAGCCAGGGCCTCGTGCATGCTAGGCAAGTCCTGCACCACCCAGTCACATCTCTAGCCCGAGAGGGCTGATCCCCAGGCTACAGGGCTGTAGGCAGAAGGACCCGTATGAGGGTATGTGTTGTTGAGGATTTAGAGGGGACTGCAGACACTCTGTAAACAAAACGTGGATACGTACAGAATGCTGACTGTCATTGCTTTAGAGTTTGTCCTCACTGTGCTGTGAAGGAAATCTACATTGTGGTTATGTTGGGGGTGGACAAGGTGGGCATTAGCCAGTTCCTGTGGCCAAGTTACTTATTCACGTAGATTTCAGTGGAGACCGGGGACTCCTGGATGTTAGGCAGTCTACTAAGCTCTCCCCATAGCCTTTCAATGCAGTTTTAATTCACATTTCTTTGATGGCTAATGATGTTTAATACTTTTCAAGTTTATTTGCTGTATGTATCTTTTCAGAACTGGCTGTTCATGTCACTCATACATTCATTGATTGTGTTTGGATTAATTGTATATATTGTAGCTCTGGATCCCAGGTCAGATGTATAGTCCACAAAGATCCCTCCCCACCCCCCATTCTTCAGGCTGGGTCTACAATCAGTTGTTGCTTTTGGTGGTAGATGTCTTTTAGTTTTATGGAATCCTGTTAGTTGTAAGCAGCATTTCTTAGTTATTGAAGTTCTTTTCGGAAAGTCCTTGCCTATGTCTTACAGTGTGTGTCCTACTTGTTAAGAGTTTCAGAGTTTATCTTTCATGAGGCTCTTGGGTTGACTTTTGAGTTGGCTTTATACAGGGAGAGAAGCTGTAGTTCTAGTTTCACTTGTCTGCGTGTTTTCCCAACACTGTCAAAAGAGACCATCTTTTCTCCAGTGTGTTTTTAGGCACCTTCATCAAAACTCGGGCAACTGACCATGTAGGCTTGTGCCTGGGTCTCTATTCTAGTCTATTAGCTAAGTGTTTGTTTTGGGCAGGCGCCATGCTGTTTTGCTACTGTGGCTTAGTAAGAGATCTTGAAATATGGCCGTACCTCCAGCACTGTACTTTTTGCTCAGGATTATCGTGGTATGTAGGGTGATTCTGTGTTTCTGTGTTGATAGTCCCTGCCAGCCTGGAACTTGCTGTGTAGGCAAGGAGGACTTTGAGCTCCCTATGCCCCAGCTCCTAGCTCCCGAGGGCTATGATGTCAGGATGTGTCACTGTATCTGGATTATGGGGTGCTGGAGACTGAAGCCAGGGTTTCCTGTATACTGGTTAAGCACGCTTCCAACTAAGCCACATCCCTGGCATTCTGTGTTTGAGACAGGGTCTCATAGTGTAGACAAGGTTAGCCTGGGATTTCCCTTCTTAGCTGCAGCTGGTCTTGCACTCAGCAATCCTCATGCTCGAGCCTCCTAAAGGTACCACATTTGACTTTTTTTTTTTTTTTTTGAGACATGGTTTCTCTGTGTAGCCTTGACTATCCTGGACTCCCTTTGTAGACTAGGCTGGCCTCAAATTTACAGAGATCCTCCTGCCTCTGCCTCCCTGAGTGCTGGGATTACAGGCATGCGCCACTGTAACCAGCTCATATTTGACTTTTTTAATGAAAATTTTTTAGAGATGGTGTCTTATGTTGCTCAGGCTACTTTCAAATCCCTGAGCTCAAGTGATCCTCCTGCCTCAGTCGCCTGAGTACCTGGGTCTACAGGACAATGGTACCTTAGCTTTTTCAGGTGAAGTGACAGCTGGAAAGAATCCTCCTCAGTTGGGTTTGTCCCTGTGCTTGCTCCTCTAGCCTCTTTCTGTGCTATTTCTGCATATTAGTTAATTACAGGCAAGGGGCATGGTGGTGATAGCCTTGGAAACAGAGTCTCATCTCTAGCCCAGAGTGGCCTCAAACTTGAAATCCTAGCTTGATGTGGTACCTCACCTCTGAAATCTCAGCACTTAGGAGGCTGAGGCAGAAGGATTTCCTTACACTTGAGGCCACAGCCTATGGCTGACACAGTCCAGGCTTGGCTAAGACTATGAGACATGACCTCAAAATAACAGAGAGACAAAACAACAGAAAACAAGTGAAGGGGTCCTCACTGAGCCTTCCACAGTAGTGTAGGCAAACACTGAACTGCACGCCTGCTAACTTTTGTTAACAAATTTCTCCCCCTCCCTTTTGTGTTTTTGGTTTTTTTAGGTCTTCGTGGATGACCTGAGACTACCAAATCAACCAGCCTGGCTTTGGACTCATGGGCAGGCATATTGTCACAGCTTCCAGAGTGCTGGGATTATAGGCATGTGCCACCATGCACAGCTCTGTATTTTTTTTATTTTTTATTTTGAGATGGGGGTCTCACTTTGTAACCCAGCTGAGTTGCAGCAATTCTCCTGTCCTGGCGTCCAGAGTGCTGAGTTTTCAGGTGTCTATGGCCACACCCAACTTACTTTCTGTATCTTAGGATGTTTTGATATTTCCCAAAGCTTTGAAGGCTTGGGGGAGGCTGATGCTTTTCGGGTAGTCATTGTTTGGGGCCACAAAGCGCTCTCTACCAGGGGCGTGGCCATCCTGAACAAACCAAGCAATCCTGAGTCTGTATTCCCAACAACTTCTTAATTGAAGTTTCATACTCAAGCCAGCTTTTTTCTCCCCTAATTGACCCAATGCCAGATATCAGGCCACTGGCCACAACTCCTGTACCCAACCCCATGGAACTATTCCAATTCGCCAATGCTGAGCACCTTGCTGGACCCAGGTTTGCTTTTCCCTCAGAAATGCCAGAAAAGGGACTTCCTCAGACTTCCCCCACATTCTACTTCTTTGTTTTAAGAGCCCGGTGACTCTGCAACTTTCCACGTAGCCTACTTACCTTGAACGCGTGACTCTCCTGCATCAGGCTCCTGAGTGCTGAGACTGCTCTCGCACATCTGCAGAGTGAGCTTTCTCCCGCCAACCTGTGTCCTGCTGCTTCGTGCAGACTTGCTGCTTACCCCTGGCCCTGCCTAGCCACGGGGCACCGCCCTCTCTGGGTGGGATCTGTGACTGTAGAACCATCTTCCTTCCAAGTTCCCTTTACCATCCCACCTTCAACATCTGCATCCTTAATAAGTACAGGTGTCTAGGAAAGGGGTTGTGAGGACATAGGACAGATGATAAGCCAAATGTCTTAACTCACCTTGAGAAATAGATGAAAGAAACTCGGAGACTATTGGGAATTCTCCTCTTTTAGTGGAGATCCTCTTGGTAGGGGTCTGTCAACAGACTGGACCACAGGAGTCAGGTCCTGGGATGATGACTTGGTCACACTCTGTTGCACCAATAAGCCTCCTAGAAACAAAGAGGGGAGGGGTTGTCATTAAGAAGGGATACTAGGGGCCAGAAGGATGGCTCAGTGGGTATGCCCTGATGACCCAAGTTCTATCTCCAAAACTCACATTTTAGAACAAGCTGTCCTCTGATCTCCACATGTGCACTGAGGCCTACATGCCCACACACATACAGGAAATGAATGTGAAAGAACATTTATAGGAGGGCATTAGGACTGAGGAACAAGCACAGCTGGCGGAGCCCCGCCCTGGTATGCGGGAAGCTTCTCCTGCCGAACCACGAACCACGTAGAGGGAGCTGGTAGCTCAGCCCTGTGTGCCTGCACACCCCCGTCAGGAGTTCTCTGGGGACATAGTGAGTTCTTTGCTCTCTATCTTGCATGGCTCTCCATTTCACAGAGACCATAAAATGCCATTAAAGGCTCTCGCTCAGAATCTCTGCTCGTTCTCATTCTTTTTAATCTCTGTGTGTGTCTGGGGCGGGGGGGACAGGGCACACAGGACATGGTACGTGTGTGCAGGGCCACAGGGCCTCCCTGGGCATCAGAGCTGGCCTTCAAGCTTTTCTTGAGGCAGGGTCTTTTGTTCTCCTTTGCCTGTGCCAGGCTAGCTCCTCTGCCTGCCCTTTCACCACAGGAGAGCTGAGAACACTCACAGGCACTTCCCTGATGGGATTAGAGGCCCACATCACTGCATGCTGCTTTTGGCCCTCACTCTTATCTTCTGCCACTTAGTCAAATCTAGGACCCCCCCAGACCCTGTCTGCCGTGACTTGACCCCTCTCTGTGTAGGATCTGTGACTGTATAACCATCCTCCTTCCAAGTCTGCTTCAGGTCCTCTCTTGGGATTATAAAGTCTTTACCGCCTCCAATATGGATCCAGTCCCTCTGCATCCTTAGTCTACGCCGCAGGTGTCGGGGGGGAGGGGGGGAAAAGGACTGGGTGGGGCACAGGACAGATGGCAACCAGGTATCCAATTCACCTCAAGAAATAGAGGGAAGAGACTTAGGGCTTTTCTCTGAATGGAGATGCTAATGGTGAAAGGTAATGAAGGGAAATGACCTCTAAGGTCGGAGGTCCTCTGACAAGAATGCCCTCAGTCAGCACTGGCAGCACAGCTCAGGCTCCTAAAGGCAAAGGTTCAGGATTGTTCTTAGAAAAGACATGAGGGCTGGGCCTGTAATCCAGGCAGTAGAGTGCTTGCTTAACTACCCTGAAGCTCTGGGTTGGATTCCCCAGCACCAAATGTAAATATGGCCACTCCTGCCTGTAATCCCAGGTCTTGGGGAAGTGGAGGCAGGAGGATCAGGCCATCCTGGGCCACACTGCAGGGGTTGGGGCCAGCCAGCACTACCTGAGCCCCAGTCTCAGAAAAGTGTATAGGAAAAGCCACAAAACAAAGGGGATTGCAAAGGAGTGCGCAGCGGGTAGTGTCAACCCAGATCCTCTAACCGCCGCTCCCGCTCCCCAAATCAGGGAGCCCCCTGCAGTCTCTCAAGGTCAGCTGCAGAGCTGCTGTGACCTGACAGCTCTTCCAGAGTTCTGTTCTCTCCACACCCCTACAGCTGCAAGCCCAGCCCCTCTGATGATGCCCGGACACCCTTGAATTAAACGGACGAAAGCAACAGCTTCTCCCACTGTTCTCTGGAACTGAACTGTCTCTCTTTCCCTTCAGGGTCCCCATGGCGGTACTTAGTGGCTCTCTTGCCTTACACACTCCCACCTCAGACCCCATCATGGCTGCCGCTGTCCGAGAGCTGGTAGCGCTCCCTAATAAAGCTCTGTCAAGGGTGAATCCCTTCAGCGTCTGTTTCCTGTGATCCCATCTTTATCTGTTGTTTATAACAACTATCTTTTAGGAGTTACTAGAGGAAATTCACAGTTGTCTGAAAAATGCCTATAGAGCCAGCCATGGGTGGCTGCGCCTGTCAGGCTAGCACTTAGGAGATGCAGTCGGGATCATCAAGACTTCAGGGTGATCCTCTGCAAGAGGTCAGCCTGGGCCACAGATCCCTAATTCAGAAAAACCAACCTGCAAACTGTCAACAGAAACGTTATTTTGAGCAGGGGAAATGTCAGGGGCGCAACCCTTTCACTGGACAGTGGCTGCAGTCACAGCCCAGCTGTTTTTGATTCTTTACAATCACCGTGAAGGCACTCAGCAGCTGCAGAAGAGCGCCAGAGCCATGGCTAAAGCCCAAGACAGACAGCCTGCGTTGACCTGGGGAATTGGCCCTCCTAAGCAGGAGGGGGCTGAGTAGACTCTCCATGAGCCTGCAGCCTTTCACCCTGGCCAGAAGGGAGCAATCCATCCTCACAGCCAGCCTGTGATTGACGTGACCAGAATCCTTATGAGTGACGGACTGTGTCATTGGTGTAACACCTGTGTCATAACTGTACCCTGGGTATGTAAGCTGAAAAATGTTTTTAAATTTTGAGGCAAGGTCGGGATTCAAGCTGACATGTAGCCAGGGTTCCTTTTTTTGTTTTGTTTTTTTTTTAGTGATTTATTTGAATGTGCATTGATGTTTTGTCTGCATGTATGCCTGTGTGAGGGTGTCAGATCCCCTGGAATGGAGTCATAGACAGCTGTGAGCTGCCATGAGGATGCTGGGAATTGAACCCAGGTCCTCTGGAAGGACAGCCAGTGCTCTTAACTGCTGAGCCATCTCTCCAGCCCCCTCTCTCCCCCCAGATCCTTTTGTTTGTTTGTTTTGGTTTTATCAAAACAGGGTTTCTCTGTGTAGCCTTTGCTGCCCTGACTCACTTTATAGACCATGCTGTCCTCAAACTCACAGTCTTTATGAATCTGCCTGCCTCTGCCTCTCAGAGAGCAGAGGTTAAAGGTGTGGCCACCAGGCCCTGCTCGGAACTCTTGATTCTCCTGCTTTAACCTCTAGACTGGGACTGTGGGGAAAAGCCATCCTGATTGCTTTGGTTGACTTGAAACAGTGTTTCCCTTTGCGTCTTAGTCTGCCCTGGAACTCACAGCAAGACTCTACTTCCAGAGTGCTGGACTTAGACTGTGTGTATTGTAATCCTTGACCTAGTTTCTGTATCTGACAATGTTTTTACAGCTTCCAAAGCTTTCAGTTTGAGTAGTGTCTCCTACTGCTGCTGGGGACACAGATTGTTGGGGGCAGAAACAGCTCTTTTCCTGGAGCTTGTCTTTGAACTACAAACCAATCCAGAGTCTAAGAAAACAATAATTTATTTGTTGCAGACCCTAAAACAATGGGGTCACAGCTTCATGTACTCACAGCCAGTAAAGCTCAGCCTGCACAGGGATGAGGTATAGAAATGTTAAACACTAGCCTTCTATCAAATACTGTAAAATGGTGGCGTTTGTGACAAAGAATTCAGTCTTTTTATATCCCCCACCTTGTAAGATTTTTATGCATATATTTTAATCCCTCCCCAGCCTGTCAAAGCCTTTGTTATACAAAGTGATTTAAGGGGCACTTTCCGGTTTCCTTCACTTCATTTGCTCTGATGCTTTTTAACTAGCCAATCAAAAACTCCAGTGAGGTCAGACCCCAGCCAATGGAGAAAAGACAGTCACCACCTATCTTAAAATAAAAACCAAGTGTTCTTCCTGTGTGTGCGTGCATTTCTGAGTACTTCCTTTTGATCAGGAGTGAAGTTTTGCTTTGCCTTTGTTTGGGTGTGTGACCCTGAGAATAATCCTAATCATTTGGGACTTGTCCAGGATTTCAGATCCTTCTGGGAGAGTGTTCAGATCCTCTCCCTTGGAAGAGATGCACCCCACCAGGTTGCAGTGACAGCTGGGTTTGTCAGTTGTAGGTGTCCTTCACAGAAAAGGAGAGTAAGGAGGTCCACCGGGCCCTCACTGGGTGTCCCGCCTCTCCTGCCAGCGGGCTGTAACTAGAGTATATAGACCAAGAAAAGCTAGCGGTGGGGACCTCCTCCACCTGTGCCTCCAGGTGGAAGAGTCCAGTGAAAATGGACAGTGTTGAGTGACCCCTGCCCCTACAAGGAAAATTCTCACAACAAATGATAAATTTATGTGTTAATGTGATTATGTCTTGTGGTATTAAGGAAAGCCATAAGTAATGAATTAGAAGGATATAGGAATGAAAGACTTTGGTAAAAAAAGAGGATTTATGTATGAACATTAAGATGGATATTTTCGCAATTTTATTTAGAAAGTACATTCAAGTTGTATAGATCTGAGTAAGTCATTTAAGGCATATAAAAGTTAAGACTTAGAGAGATAGGTATGATATTAAAAAATGTTAAGGTCAAAGCCCAATATATTGGTGTTAAATCAGTGGAGCTATTGATCTGCTCTTGATAACAGTCACAAGAATTGGTTAAAATGTTTAACTGAAGTTTATTTGAAGTGTCTGGTCTTTGCCCAGGTTTCATCTAAATATAACACAGTAGTCAAAAGTACCTGACTGGTGTGACCGACCTTCTAGAGGTTAGTGGTGGCTTGACTGAAAACGGCCCCTGTAAGCTCATTGGAAATGACACTATTAGGAGGTGTGGCCTTGTGCAGGACTTCCAATAAGGGTGTCGCCGAGGGTGGGTATGAAGGTTTCAGAAGCACAAGCCAGTGGTTTGCATTCTCTTCCTGCTGCTTGTGAATCTACTTGTAGAACGCTCAGACGTCTTCAGCACCAGATCTGCCTGACTGCCACTATACTTCCTGCCATGATGATACTGGATTAAACTTCTGCAACGGTAAGCCAGCCCCAATTCAATGTTTTCCTTATTATGAGCTGCCGTGCTCATGGTGTCTTTTCACAACAATAGAAAACCTAACTAAGATGGTATTCAACAATTATACTTATGTGTAAGAGGGTTTGTGTGTGTGTGTTTTAAGACAGGGTTTCTCTGTGCAGATTCTCTGATTGCCCTGGAACTTGCTTTGTAGACTAGGCTGGCCTTGAACTCACAGAGATCTGCCTGCCTCTGCCTCCTGAGTGCTGGGATCAAAGGTGTGTTCCACTGCCATCTGGTAAGAGGAATTTAAAGGGAGAATATTTATTTTCCCACTTGCCTTCCAGTGGTCAGCTGGGTCCTGCAGAACTGCTCAAATATTCTGTAACTGTGGGAAGTCATCTGTTCTCTTGTTCAGGAAGACCCCAACCAATGAACTCTAACCAGTCCACAAGAGGAAAAAATTCCTCAATGCTTCCGAGAAAAGCATGGTTAAGCAAGGCTGTTGACTTACCCTCACATAGACAACAGTCAAAAGGAAGGCAGAAGGAGCCAGAGGTTTCTCTCAAACCCAAGTGAGCCCTGAGGACCAGATCCTCAACTGGCCTTGACAATGAAGTCACCCAGAAAGAAAATATAACCCCAAGTAAGATGATCAGTGTGGGGCTTTGTTATTGTTTCGTTGCTTTGTTTTGTTTTTGACAGTCTAAGGGATCATATTTCCCAGATTTTGAACTTAAATCCATGA